AGCTTGTGGAGACTTTGAAACTGTTCTCTTAGATCTTCCAACTCGCTCTCTCGCCCCTTGAACTTGAGGAAACATGTTTGACCTTGTGTTTTTCTGTCTTTGCTGCACTGACATAGAGTGTTCAATAGCGATCTCACATCGGTCGATGGCGCCACACCTTTGCCACCCCGCTTGGCCTTCTTGGCAGCAGGTGCATCGACCCTCCCATCATCATGGTCGCTGCTGGAGTCGCTAAGCTCAGTGATTGGCGCCAAATACGAGGCTTGAGACATGCAAGCTAGTCTTGGGAGGAAAAGCAACGGAAGACATCGGAAGACTATGGATTGGGTGAATCCTTTTGGGCTTGCTCAACTCTAGGTCAACAGACAAGGTTCCCTTCATGTGTTCCAACGATCCCAAAAAGATTCTTTCAATTCGAGGGCCGGGCTGAATTGAAGCGGAGGATCATCTAACCTCCATGCAACATTCGAATTGGCAGTGGCGTGGTTCAACGATTAAATGTCAGCCGTTCGACCTCTTGGCACGTGCCCATATTTTTGATGGCTTGGTCCAAAGGGAACTGGATTTGCTTATGGGTATGGGTTGAAACTTGAAACTAAATCCAGCGCAATTCCCAAAAAATCAAGACAGCACAAGGTGTCCAATAGACTGGTCACATTGAGACTGAGGGGGGGAACCGCACCAACAGTTGCAACGCTGCTGCTGCCTGTGCAGGAACAACAATGTTACCACAAGCATGGACTCGCTCGTCCCAGCTATCCTCTTCCTCCTTTTGATGCAAGAGCCACTGTGCTAAGGGCTTCTTGCAATGAATGTTCCACTCAGATTGCATCAAAGCTCCCAGCGGTTTGAGTTTCAAAGCCTGCGCAAAGTATGAAACAAGTTCACCTAGCTAACAACAGAAAAACACAACTGCATAATGTTTCATTTCCCAATCATGATTGTTGATGTTTCTGCCTGGAATGGGTCGAATCCCGGCTTGGTCGCAATGAAGAACACTCGCTCGCGGTGACACTAGCGGTAACGTGTCATTCAATCTGGATCTTGGAAGTGGGAAACATTGGATTGATGGTTCTTTTCCCGACAACAGGCTTAAGCTGTATTGAAGCTAGCAAACATTCAAGGTGTTGCAAGTCCAAACCCAAGCTTGCCAGGCAGACTGCGAGACCGACGTTGCTCAGCTTCAAGGAGGCCCACTTGAGTTCGAGGTTTCGAGATAGACACTCCTGGAGGGTGAGCTCGGGCAGCTAGGGTTGGTTGAAGGAACTATGACAGTCCTTGCAAATGAAGTGAAAAAGTTCCCGCTGCTTGCTCTCTAGGATAGCGCCAACATTTTCCAAATATAAGAGTTTCCTCAGCTAGTCCCAACTTTGGAGGATTGTATTGTTCCTTTACCCCGAGGACGTGACGCAGGATCGCCCAGCTCATCAAACAAGCGGAATGTGTGGACAATCAAGTTGGACCGAACATCCATAAGTCCTTTGCCGTAGCCTGCATTGCTAACCCCCTGGCACGAAGAGTGGCAGGAGACTATTGAGAGAAACATGCGGCGCACCTGTCCCATTGGTAAGTTCCGGTATAGAAGCGTCTTCTTTTTTTTGTTCAGAGGGCATCACGGGTCCAACCAATTACGAATTGTTCAAAGACTTCCAATTTATTGTGGGTGCACTGCGACATTCACTGTAAAGCTTGGCTGCACTGCACCGGTGCTGGTGCTGCTGCTGGCACGCTGGCACCCATGATCATGCTTTAAAAAGGTTAGGTCATTGCCCAATCCTGCAAAGCTTGGAACATCACACTCAGAATGACCCAGGCGTCCACGGTGAAACCTCACACGCGCCTTCACACAAAGAACCAAGAGCTGCTCACTGTCCAAAGGTGTCCACTGGCTTTGGTACCCGAAAGTGGCAGCGTTGTCCACGTCAAACAAAGCCTCTACCATTTGCTCTTTCCTCATGCCGGCGGTGGGCACCAAAAATTCAGTGCATAGTTCTGCAAGGACAGACTTCCGGAAGTCGCTAAATCCTGGGAGGAAGTAGGACTTACGCTTGCAGCTGCGCTCTGGAATCTTGTCGGACGAGGCTTTCCCGACAGCCATTCTTGTCTTCTATTGGGAGGAGACAACAGTTCCTAGCAAAACAAGTGGGATCTTGAGCAACAAGCCCGCGGGTTACACACGTCCCGCGCAAATGAACTGAATTGAACTGAAGACTTCACTTCCCCGTAAAAACATGAGACAACCCAGAACCCCAACTCTCGGGCCAGCCTGGCAGGGGAAGCCTCCGCCAACACCCTCAGCTCCACTATTCTGCACATCTGGTCCTTTCAGTGTGCATACGTCATTGTGAACTTTGCATGCTGGAAGAAGGTTCTCTGCTTGGCGTTGCAACAGAACCTTTCGGCAGTACTCATTGCACTCCACCTCAGACCCAAAATGGAACACTTTTGCAATCAACATGTGATGCAAGCAGTTTGCAAGCAGTTCTTGCTTCAAGTTCCAGGGACGTGGCCATCATGACTGGGTAAATGATCCTGAGAACAAAGAGTATCACAACAGAAACATGATCGAGTCTTATGTTGCCTGAGCCATGCGCTCGCCCAGTCCCAGTTCTAGCCCTCCAACACCGGTAAAAAGGCTCAGCACAGGAACCTTGTTCTCCTGCCAAACTGTGGGCACTTATGAGAAAGTACTCACCAACAATTTCCTGTGACTCCTTGTGGTGGAGGTTTGGAAACTGCTTCTCGAACATGTCTTTGCACACTGCGTTGGGCTTTGTCGACGTCCATCCCCTTGGGAGGCCTGCAAGGGGACGAGGGCCACCACATGACACTCAAACCGATCTTGTTGGGGGCCGAACCGGAAAGATATTCGCAGACTTCAGCCGAAAGAAAACTGCCAGGTGTTTCCTTTGGGCCGATGGATTCTTTGTAATCCTGCGAGAAACGAATGATGTTGGCGAGGTCCTCAGCCATGTGTGAGAGTTGGAGCCACCAAGAAACTTGAATCAGCCTGGTCTTAGCCCCACGCAGCAATGCCTCTGTTGGTAACAGCAGACTGTGTTACCCGGCTGGTCGCCCCGTAGCATCCTTGCAGAACACCCAAACTGCTTCCAACTTCAGAGTGGAAAGAAAATTGAGGAGCGGGCTCAGTGCCGGCCAGCTTTTGAATACTCGCTTGCCATAGAACAGGCCCGACTTTGTTTTGTCGGCCTTGTCCTTGCAGATCTTCGAGTTCGCTTTGTTCTCAGACACCTGCATCCAAGAACTCAAGGATAAAGCAAAAGAAAGAACAGAAAGAAGACTGAGTTGCAAACCACCACCAGAGATAACTTTTGGCAGACCGGGAGCTTGGCCTGCAAAATCACAAAGTTTGAAAGCCAACATGTCACTGTTTTGAAGCCTGCATCTCCATCATCTCCAAGCAGGTAGCTTTGGTAGATGTCGTCACTAGCGTCGCCATTCGTGGTACCGTGCCCTCGCAACACAAGATGACTGTTTGGTGGCACACCCTTGTACTGCATCTAATATACAAAATGTTACAACATGAAAAAACAGATATACCCACCTGGAAATCTTTCTTGATGAACTTTTTGGTAAATCTGGTCACAATGGCACTTGAAGAAGATACCTGACTAATAATCACCGCACACTTACAACCTTGGGCTCTCTAAGTTTGGTGCGGAAGCTTGAGAAAACGTTGGTTCTCCAGTCTCTGACCTGGGAGGCCCATGCATCGCCGGCCGTACTGGCACGATGATGTTCAATGAGATTGAGGCAAGGACTCTGAATCGCTCAGCTGTTCGACCGGAGGCAAAGAGGACATCGAATCTATGTCAGACCCAACCGTTGAAGACTGAAGACCTAACTTTCCTGCCCAAAACACCTGCGATGAAAAACATGTTCCAACGCAGCCGTTGTTTCACAGTTGGTTGCAGCATTGTTTAAAGCATCAGTCACAGTTTGAACCGCTCTGTTTACTTTGGTCCACGGAGCAAATTGGTAGTCCAATCTGTATGGGCTTTGACTTGGCTGTGAATTACCAGTCTGAAGCCAGACTGGCACTATTTTGAATTATTAATTTGAATCCATACTCTAAACATCTTCAGAGAAAAATGTGGCGCTCATCCTCCGCAGTTTCTTGGGCGGTGAGTTTGGGACTGGTTCAAGATCTTGGGGGAAGAGATCTATATCCAGTGGAAGAGTGTCAGGGGCTTCATTCTCCAATTCCCGAGGTGGGGTGATCTCTGGGGCTAGACGTTCTCGCTTCTGCTCTTCCAGCGATTCCAGCTTGTTCTCAGTCTCATCAGCCAAGACCATTCCTGAAATTTCCAACTCCTGCAGACTGTGGGATGAGACTAGCAAATTCTCTAGCAGGAAATGTGTGTGGCCATTAAGATCAAGTCTATCCCTCCTCGATGCCGAATAACTTGCCTCTGGCTATCATGATTTGAGATCTCAGCCAAACCACTTCAGGGTCTTCAATCCCTCGAAGTTCCATCTCACCTTGAGGTGATCGAAAAAGAAGTGTGGGACTTGCACCACCCTTATATAGAAAAATCTAAGATCCAAACGCCAGACCAATCTCCATGGCCTGGAAGGGTTTTAGATAGTATAAAGAAAGGGTCATCCCAAACATATTACTAAGTCTCTAGCTCTCTTCGATAACGCCGGTAAATCCATTGCCACGACTGACGCGCCATCGGTGCCAGGCTGAATGAGCCGCCCACTGCTGCAGCTGAAGCGGCTGCTTCCCTTTCCCATCCATTCCCTGCCCATTCCCATTTCTGTCGATACCTGACCTGGTTTGAAAGTCTGACCCAGTTAGGGTGAAAACGTTTTTATTGTTTAAAAGGTTTGTTTTATTTGGACATGGCGAACTCTCCATTCCACCTGTTTTGGTGGAAAAAGCTCGCCTTCAGACGATTTTGGGGCTCCGGCTGCCCGTCGTTTCCGACCGGGGGGCTCTCCCGCTCCAATGGCGCCTCCGCCGCGACGGCCAGGCGAGTGGACGCCATTAGCTCGGTCTCCGGTGGCTCCTGGGCCACGTGCCTCGGACCGAGCGGGTCACTGGTGCGGACCGCGGCCGGCCGGTAGCGGTCAGGGGGTCTCCCTGAAACTGGGGGTGTGAAGTCTGGAGACCCCATCAATGATGGGGGGGCCTGGCATTTTTTGTGGCCTGTTGTACTTGTGTGTTCAACATGTTTTCACAAATGGTGCCTGTGTTCTCCCTGTGTTTTGTGTGTGTGTGTGTGTTTTTTTGTTTTTTAGTGGCTAATGAGAAGGTGTAGGTGTAGGACTGGGATGAAGCTGGGCAAGCTGGGCGGGTTTAAACAGAGCGTTGGACAACTTCGGAAGATGTAGGGTGAAGAATGGGAAACACATGGAAACACACGGGTAGAGGAAAGCAGGCCTCCCAAGAAAGCTTTCCCAGGAGTGTTGAAGAGAGGAGAGGCATGTGGTTTACAATGGTTTACAAAAGACACCTGGAAGCTGCCACTTGAAACCGGGGTGGGTGGCGGACCAGTTTCGATTGATGTTGCTCGTTCTGTGAGGGTTCTTGTTCAGCCCGTCAGAGCAGCAGCTAGTACAGCCAGTGATCCAGGGTGTTGGCGGGTGAATGCTGGAACTGATGCTGGGGGGGTGAATGCTGGGGAGCTCCTACAGTGTGGAACTCTTCCCATCAAATTCATGCAACTTGTCCCGTAGGAGCTTTCAACTGATGACTCATAGGGGTTTCGACTATAGGGGTTCCACAGACTATCGGGGTTTCTCTTTAGCAAATTGTCCCATAGGCCCATACAGGTTTTGACTATCGACTGATGACTCATGATGGCTCAAGTATGCTTTGTTTGGGCGATGACTCCTGGTATATACCTATAGAAGTAGACAACCTCCTGTTTGGCAAGAGGAGTCATTGCTCATGACCTGCGGTTGAAATCCACGGATTGGCGGGTGATCTCGCGCTTCGCTTCGATGTTCTCGCTGCGTTCGGTTCGGGCACCACCGTGACCTCTCCCGGCGGTTCAGACGTACACCGGCCGATCCCGGAGTCCCGAAGGGTGCCCAGGGTCGCTTGGGGAAACCACCGGAAGGGCATGCGCAGAAGGCAGGCATGGCGCAGAATGCATGCAGTGTGGGAGTGATCTCAGGAGTCACCTGATCAGGTGAAGGTGATGTGATGTTATCACGACTGTGAAGGCACCGGAGATGTGTAGGTGTTTTTTTTTTATCCATGGCATACGGGTGACCTGGATATCAAGTGAGTAGAGCAGGATGGAAGAGTAGTAAGGGCAAGGGATTCTCAATGATCCAATGAATGAATTGCCATGTCTCGTTCTTGTTGCCCCTTCAGTCGGGCAGTCGGGCTTGTTTATGGAGTTTCTATTTGTCCTATGTCGATACATGTCGATACCCATGTGGCCCATATGTAGCAGCCGGGCTGACTGACTGACCTCTTGACCATGCGTCAGTCTTAAGGGATGCAACTGAAAACACCGCTTCCAGACAGGCCGTGACAGCTCGTCAAGTGCAGCTGGTTCATGTGTTCTGTCATTAGGTTGGAGTCCGTGCCCTATCAATTGATTTGAGGGTGCTATAGTGTCTAGTGCTGGCAGGCTGGGTGCTTGACAGTCCGTCGCCCTCCCAACCCAGACTGGGGGTCTCCGGAACCCAGCAAAACAGAGCCAAACAGGGCCAATTCGAGTCGTCCACTGCCAATGGCAGGCGGCTTCGCAAGGCAACGCCCAAGTGGACAGTCACAATTTCGTTCGTTTAATCGTGCCAGCCTGCAGCCCTTTTTGCATGGTACCTCCTTCGAAGGATGTCACGTAAGGATGTCAGCCCAGGGGCCTTTTGGGGGCAGAGCTGCTTGCAGATCAGACGGCCGCATGGACTCAGCCGAGATGATGTACATGAGACGCGCTAAGCCCTTGGATTTACGAGACGCGCTTGGCGCCCTAGCATGCGCGTGCATGCTGTGTTCCCTTCCCAGTGGGGTTTGATGATTTGATGCATTTTGATGCTGTCGCTCCCTTCTCGTCAGTTTGGGCTGCCTGGGTGAAAGCACGCGCATGTTGACAGAATGCATCTTGGTGTGTTGGCCTCCGGTTAAGACATGTCCGAAAGAGATTGTGGTAAGCTGGAGCGGAAACAAGAAGTACAAGCCAACAAAAAGGTTACACCGCTACGCCTATATACGTGTTTTCTGGTTTTTTGTGGCCACCTTGTTTTGGTCACCTTACCTTGATTTGCTTGTTGCGCAGTTTTTGTTGTTGTGCTTGGGCTCGGTGCATGGGCACTAGAAGAGCGTGCCTAAATAAATATATATATGCAAGTTATTGTGACCCCCGTTCCAAACACTTTTGAATCTCTTCGGGGGCCCGACGCAGTTCTGCAGATTGCTTGCTGTTTGGAGCGGCAAGCACTGTTGGCCGCAGCTGTTCAGTGGAGCCGTTGCATGTCATCGCCCTCCCCCACCGACTCAGCCGACCCCTGTGTTGTTTCCGGAAGCAAAAAACAACATGATAGGGTTGAACTGGCAGTCAGTTGCGTTCTGCTTTAGCAGCGAACCTTCTGATTTTAGGATGTTGGAATTATATAACTGTGGTGTTTCCAATGTTTTTCCTGTACATTGCTTCCTGCAATGATATCACGCAACGTGGGTCAAAGTGGCGTTGAAGGCCTCCAGGTCAACAGCCGCCATTTTGTGTGTGGGAGGTCTTGCACATGGTTTGCAATCATAACGTGCACATGACCGCCCGCTAGTCCGAGATCCCTTTGGTGCACGTGTCATGGATGCGCTCTCGACCAATGCGCGACCATTTCTATTATGTTCTATTTGTGTTCATGGTGTGGTCCGTTTCAAGTTGGATTTGATGAAATGATGCTGGTTCTTCATTCTTGCGTATTCGTTGCCCGGGAGAGACCGCAGATGGCTGTGTGACCACTTTGTGTCATCCTTGTTTTGTGACACCCTTTTTTTTGTGTTTTGGCCCGCGGTCATTGTGTCAGCCTTTTTGATTCGGCACGCAACATCACGCAACCAGAGATGGTGGGCAGCTTTGGTTTCTGTTCGGAAACATCAATTTCCACGGTGTCCGGCGGTGGTTGGAAGAGCGTGTTCAACACTGGCCGCCAGCCACTGTCCATCCCTTGTCAATTGCCACTACCCTCCGGGCCCAGTCGAAACTGAGAATGAAAAATAATGAAGCCATGAAAGGTGAAAACGTTGTTTTGTGATACCTTCCTTCACATAATATGGAGTCACCAATATTAAGAACTGGGTCAATTGGATCTGTTTGTTTTTTGTCCTGTAAGGGTTTTGCAGGTTCAACTCTGCACCTTTCGGAAAAGAACACGGGATTTGTGACCATTGAAGTAAGTGATTTGATTGTACATGCTTTTGTTCAGCGATTTCTGACACCTTCGTTTTTCCAGTTTCCAGCCATGGCGCGACGTCAGTCGTCATGGGCTGTTGGGTGATTGAAAAAACGCTCGTTTTCGGAGCCCGGCGCCGTGTTGGTTTCCGCCCGCGAGGTCGGTCTATATGTTTTCCACTCTGAAGGCCGGAGCGCGGTGAACGAACATCGGATGAACAGCGGTGGAGCACGTGGTCGCCAGAATGCGCCAGACAGGAACCGTGCGGTTCGGTGTGAAAAGGAGAACTGGCATGAAGAAGAACATGGGGTGAACTACTAAGGATTGTTTCTATAATAACTCTATGTGAACTATATGAACTCTTTCTACAAATAGGATCAAATAGGTGACTTACTATAAGGATTGTTTCGGCCTACCGGTAGGTGGTGAACTAGATCACGAACGCGATGTGTGCCAGAGGAGGGTGATGGGATTCTTTGCTTTGAAAAAGACATTGACATCCAGTCGTGCCGAACCTCAGGTACGGTGATTGGAGACTATTTATGTAGGCGCCAGGAGGGCCCAAGTACCTTCTGAGAAGGTATGTGGATCCCTAGGGATGTATATATATAATAATATCAGAATCAAACATCAAACTGGACTGGACTGCCCGGTGTGGATTCCTCATAGATGTTTTTCTTGCCTCCTTGGGATGGGAGCGAAAGCACAAAACCAGCCTTCACATCTACGCGCGACGAAAGAACAGGCTCAGGGAGATAAGGGATGTCCAGCAGAGGTTGAAGAACCCTATAGGCTATCCTATAGGTACCCCAGTAGGGTCCTATAAGGTCACTTAACCTCTGTTGGGTCATTGAGCCATGACTTCACCGTTGACTGATCCTCCATTCTCCAAACCCGCCGCCTCCCGGGGCCTGAAGAAGGCGTCCTTCTCCGCCTTCTTCTCACTTCGCCGTCGGGCACCACTCCGTCCACTCCACGCGGCACCGGAGGTGAGTTACTTGCTGGGCCAAGCCACACAGCCCGAAGAGCTCACCATGGACTTCTTAGAGAAGACCAACTCGGCTCTGGGCACGGTGGGCGCCGTGGGCACCTCAGTGCCTTGGGCGACACCTGGCGCGCTTCACTGCTGCGCAGCGCCAACCAACGCGGGAACTCGACACGGGCTGGGTGCGGTTTTGGTCCGAGGTTCTGGGCCGCTTTCGAGCTGTACTTGTGGCGCTTATGGTGGTTGTGGTGGTGGTTGTGGTCGCGGCTGAGACTATTTATATACACGCATTCAATGCTTTTGTAGGGTTTATCTCCCGACTCGGACCGTGGAACTGGAGCCTTCCCAAAACATTACAGGTGTATCATCGCCCCTCGATGAAATTCAGTACAATTCAGGGATTATGATGTAACATGTCGAACCATTTTGCAGAGACATAGCCGCTGGTGGCACGTTAATATACAACTGAGTATGATGTTTTTTTTATGCTTGTAACTTGTAAGATCAGAGTTTATACATGTGGCAAAGCGTTTTGTAGAGAGTTGAATGGGACTTAATGATTTTGTAGATGAATGAACACCATGCCCCAAATCAGAGAGGTTCAACTTTGGGATGCGTACATTTTGTAGGACTTGTCCTTTACAAATCTTTACAATACTAAGTCAGCAGGGATTTATGTTGTTCAGGTCGGGCTGACTCAGCATGTTTGTTTTGTTTTCTTATTTTTCTGTGGTTTGGTTGGATACATACTCAACCCGAAACAGGTTCATACAAATACTACATCGACAGTATCCAGTTTCTTCATGTTGCTTCATCAAGATGACCGGAGGATACCGGAGGAGCCTGGTGTTTGTTCAGAGGTTTGCGTTTTCACGCGCGGGTTTGAATACCAGAGAGTGACATGTCAGAGATACACGACAGTTTCCCAGCCTGGTGATTGCAAAATCTGAGAGTGACAGCATGTTTTCAGTTGTAGTTTCTGATCAAGTTTGTACGAAAGAAGTCAATGGAGAATCAATGAAACCATATTAATATTGAGCCCTGCGTGACTGGAACTCCGTATCAATGAGTGGCTGTGTGACTGTAGGATGAGTTTGTAGAAATGTGTTTTGTACAGTAACATGTTGCTTGCGCCTTTATGCGTGGACCTAATGTAGGATTGGAATTGAACATGTGTAAGACAGTGTTTTTTTCCAACACTGGTTCTTCATGATGCTTTGTAGAGAGTTTTTTGTTTAGTTTTCCTGCCAAGATACATATTCTTTTTTGGGGGGGGTGCTCCATTACCTGTAACAGCCGGCTGGTAAACAATTGTCACTATTTTAGAGAAAAGACCTTCACTAACCATCATCATCCACTGTTGCAGGGAATAGAATATATTCAATATATGTTGTACAATGATACGCTTTTTTGACACGTTGACAATGACAACTGATTCTGTAGCATGTCTTTTTTCATTACTGTATGTTTCCCTAAATGGGGGGTGTGGCAGTGGAACAAGAATAACATTTATGTCAAATAGATAACGCATGTTCCAGGCATGCCATTTTGTATTTCAATGGTGGTACGCCCAATTCTATAGAGACGATGTTCCTACAAATTGCCACACCCACCATGACCATGCTAATTGTTGTAACGAGGATATGTTTTCCTTGTTCTTCTCTATACTTACTGTATATGATTCTTTTTACAGGTTCACAAAGGTCCTCGATAGTTTTTCCGTCATTGTTCCAACATCCTTACCTACTTGAGACTATACTCAGTTCAGTCCCAGTGTGCCATGCGTCATCTCAGATGCTGATTGCAGGCCATTGCAGGAAAGTTGATCAGTGACGGCATCGAGTTCCAGATGCTTTCCAGCAAGATGACTTTACCTTGAGTGACCCAGATTCAAAACATGAAGGAAGTGGCCTATGACTGGGTTGTTGTGTTTTTTTCCCGAGTGAAAACCCTCATGTATTTTTGGCTGACTTTGCCCAACTATTTCTAAGCCGGAGCAAACGTGTTGTTTTCAATCGGAAAGGCATGTATTTCAATCCTCCTGGCAAGAGCCAATCAAGGTTTACCATGCTTTGATGCCCTGAACTTTGGAAGGAATGCCATCCAAACATCACCTCTTCGTAGGGCTTTTCCGGAACCTGCAAAAACTCCATTGAACCTCTACTCAGCTCAAAAACCTCAGTGATGCCGGCCCCTGAGGGAATTGTGGGTCAATACGATCTCGAAGGCGGGGTTGAGGACTGACGGAGACTGAACGAACGTCATCAACGGTTGAGGACTGGCGAAAGCAAAGAAAGCAAAGCCCACAATGAAAGTGACAATAAGAAATTGATAAGAAACATATTGAAATTTACATTAACACAAGCAGATATGAGCCAGCGCGACTATATATATATATTTTATGTTTGTTTCCTCAGCCAATGGGTTTCTCAAGGAGAAATTGCATCCAAAATGATTCCTATCCTTTAGTCCGTCCTCCATTACTGGACATGACCCGGAGGCCATCCTGGAACCCTTTGGCCTACATGACCTGGACAGCTACATGGCCTCCGACCATTGGGCCGTGGAAGACATCAGGCGCAGCGGCCCGGCCGGGGCCCGGGGGGGGCCGGGGGTCCAGGGTCGTAGCTTTGTTTTCCCCATCGTCATCCGCATGACCTGGACTGTTACTTGGAGGTAATTAAACAGGAGGTCCGTGAAACAGGATCTTTCTGGGAAGTTCGGACCTGAATGAACTCTTCAGAATGAGAAGCATGTTTGTGCACATAATGGATCATCATGGTGTTTTAGGGTTTGATGCTCATGTTTTTCTTTTATTTTTCTCTTTCTGGAGCGCATCCTCGTTCTTGCATGGAGGGTGTTTGGCTTTCGAAGGCTACCGGCTAGACCGAAGGCTGTCAGAAGGTCCAAAAACAACATGTTTGGCTTTCGTTTGCAACACGAAGCGCAACAATGAACCTCACCTCACCAGGTTCACAGGTTCATGCAGGCAACATTAAGAAAAGCTGTTCAGGAACCTTAGAGTTTGCAAGGAACCTTGGAGCACGATCTTGCTGTTGTTTCCCATGAGCTGTAACATCAGCAACAGTAAACCCATGCTGTTGTTAAAACCCATGCTTCCCATGGATAGATTTGTTGCTAACAGCAGCAACAGTCAATAAACGAGTATCAATGATTGTCACTATGTTTGAGAAAGGCCTGCAATCTAACCATCATCATCTCACGAGGTCCCCACCACTTCAGTGAGGCAAGGTTGCCAGTGTTTGCTCTTATGTTTGTTTCATGTGTTGGGTGTATATATATGACATACATCACATGACAAACACATTGAAATGATGTCTTGTATGTCTTTGAACAGTCACCTGTCTAGACCCATGTGCTTGAAGCGTCGCTTCAGCCGCCGGAAACCCCGGTCGCCGGTCCGAGGCGCCGGAACCCCGAGCTCCGCGCCGCGCGCTTCCTGACGCCCGCGCCGGGGAGGCCCAGGGTCTTTGCGCCTCGGCAGCCTTTGCGTCGACACATGCGATGGTGAGGGTGATGTGTTGGTGTTTGTGGGAGTTAAATGCCTGTTCCGGGTGATATGTTCTTTCCGGTTCCTCCAAGAAATCCAAGTTCAGAGGGTGGCCAAGAGTGGTCTGAGAGATGAAGATATACTGTCTATATATATATATATTTGTGTACATATGTGTGTCAACTCCTGTCTCTAAGGAGCTCTGAGACATGTGTGTAGTTTCGCAGGGGGCTCACGGGTCTGTTCCTGGCGTGAGCCAACGAAGCCCCAGGTTCAGACTAGGATATCGAGAGAGGACGCTCTTTCGACATATATATATATATATGGTACCCCCCCCCCCAAATGTCCATATTTTTTAAAATTTTACTGGTATTTGCAGGGATTGTGGGGGTACCATATATGTATATATATAATCCTAAAATCCTAAGATTTCAGCACTAGTCGGAAATGGCGGACGTAAACTTTCCAGTACTTAGAGAATTCCTGAAAATTTTGAAATATTTAAAATTTTCTCAGAAGTAAGAAGCAAGAAGTAAGATTCTCTAGGAGAGTTCTGTGCAATCTTACTTCTTACTTCTGAGAATTCTCTAAGTATTGAAGTCTTCACCGTTTCTGAAGCAGCCGGTTAATCTCAAAGGCATTTTTGCATCCAAAAACCGGCTTCATGGCATTCCATGTGTCTGGGGAAGTCACGGTCTCCAATGACAAGGCGAACCTGGTCCTTAATTTGAAGGACCCAGTGACATACCTGCTCGACATGAAAGCCTTGTGGGATCGCATTAGCACCGGAGAAATTGGTGTGCATCCCACTCGGCAACCGTTGGACAGAACCACTTTGGGAACTTTGATTCACAATATTCAGCGGTCTGCCGACTTGAAGCCTACTGGCCTCAAGGGAGCATGGAACCCAAAAGCTGAAGACACCCTCATCCGCATCTTGGCGTCTCCGAAACGCTGCTGTGGAGGGGGACAAGCATCAGCACTTGCATTGCCTCCTGTTCATCCACAAACACCTCAACAAGCACCTCAACTCATCTAAAAAAGTGTTTTTGTCGTCTTTGCATGGTTTTCACTCAACCTCCCATAAATAGACCGCATCGCATGCCTAAGGCCATCTGCAATCAACATCATTCTGGCTCTTCTTCTACGTCTTCCTCGGAGTCATCTTCCGATTCTTCGGGGACTGGGACGGCGGAGGATGCAGAGATCAAGGGTGGTGTGGCTGATGATGAGGATGTGAAGGGTGAGGAGTCTGAGGGTGAGGAGTCTGAGATGGAAGATGTTGAGGATGAGGTGGGTGCGTGTGTGGAAGTCAAGGGTGGCGATGCGAACCAGGAGGATTCCGTCTCAGGGGAGACTATGCAAGGGGACTGGCTCGAAGCAGCTGTCTTCAAGCATCCAAAGTTCAAGCATCAGATGTCCTTTGACTTTGATGACCTTGGTCAGTCTCTGCAGAGGCTTGAAAAACATTGTGATGATATCGAGCAGCAGTTGCAGGAGAAGAAGGCAGAGATTGAACAGAAAGATCGCATGATTGCTCATTTGTCCGCCCAGGTAGCCCAGTTGCAGGGTGCAAAGTGAGAGGCACTGTCTGTAGGTCTTCACTGCTGCATTGTCTTCCTGAGGGTAAAAAATAGACCGCCTTCTTTGCGTGAGACCAGTTCTTGTTTTGACTTCAAGCCTGTATATACATGCTGGTAGATACTGACTTCATTTCGGGGTCTCTTGCCATGTCCCATATCTGGTCTTTCCATGAGCCTTCCTGTGCATCCCGCTTGTCCACAGCCTGTTGTAGCAACTTGCTGTATCTCGCCTCGATCTGCAACGTCGTCATGTCTGGAAGCGGTCTTCTAGATGATGCTATGGCCAAATATGGTGGTAGAAAGCACTTGGCTGGCAAGAACATCATCTTCCACACGGATTCTGCGCGTGCCTACAAGCTGAAGCTTCGTGATGTACTTGATGATAGCGTTGTACATAAGAAAAAGCGCGTCAAGAAAAATGGCAAGTGGGTTTGGACCAAGCCTACGTTTGTCAAGGTTGTGACGCATAAATTGCCAGGAGGCAAGAAAATTAAAGTAAAGGCAGGCACTCAACACATTGACCGGTGTTGGAAGTTTATCAAGGAGCATGTGTGTAAAGGCACCCACTCCCGTGCAGGCCTGAAGCGTTTGCATTTCAAAATCCGGGCGGCCCAGTACGAGTACTGGTACCGTGGGTCTGATATGTGGAAATGCACCGGGGATCTCGTGCAGGACCACATGTCAGGAATTGTTGCCCAGCCGTGACCGCATTTGTGCTGAACAAAAAGGCCCTTGCCATGCATATCCCAGGTTGCTGGAAAATCTTCACACAGCATCACTCAACAAAAAAACTTTCTGCAACTTCCCCCCATCTTCAAGGCATGCTAGGCCCCACATGAACAACTATATCTCCAAGATCCCTTCTGCTTGGTGGGAAACATTCAACAAAGAGGCATTCTGGAATCTTCTTGGCACCTCCAAAATCATAAGGTTAAATCCAAATACCAAACTTTTGCAAAACTCTGGCTGCTAGTTCCCAAATGAACAACTTATCTCAAGATTCCTATCGCCCAATGCACAATATGGTGACATGCAATTCAACAGACCAGACAAAAAAAACCTCAAAATATACCCCCAAAAAATGAATGCCAAAATATCATCAAACCACTGTAAATACCAGTGCAAGCCGAAAAAATGTGGACTTTTGGGGGGGTGGTAGCATATATATATATATATGGTACACCTCCCCCAATGATCTACCATTTTTGCTTGTTTCACGGTTGTGGATGTTCATCCATCAATTTGTTGAAACGGGAGTGCCATTTGTATATATACATATCTTATTGTATGCTAACTGTCGAGAAGCTCACTGCACAGCATTGGTTGCAGGGAAGTACGCGTACTGTACGCGTACAATGGTCAAACCAAAGAAGCTCACTGCACAGCATTGGTTGCAGGGAAGTACGCGTACTGTACGCGTACAATGGTCAAACCAAGAAACCAAGAACCAAGATTGCACACAGCTCTTGTCAGGAATCTTGGTTCGACAGTCAATGTGGATGACCTCCTGGGTCTCAAAGGACACACCCCAAACCAAGATTCATTTTCATAGGTCTGTGCAATCTTGATTCTTGGTTTCTTGGTCTGACCATTGTACGCGTACAGTACGCGTACTTCCCTGCAACCAATGATGTGCAGTGAGCATCTCAATCTTCTGTGCGGTGTTGTGTGAATTTTCTGCCATTCCAAAGGTGATGTGTCCTATTTTCCTTTTGTCATCTTTAGCGTTCATTAACAATCTGGTCATAATTGACCGTATGAATGAAGGAAGGAGTTTTATCACAAGTTATTTTCTTTGTTTGCTTCCCATTGTTTTCTTAAACACTTTCAATATATTAAGTTATACCTCTTATTGAAAAACATTTGTTGCCTTCACTTCCACTGTATACAATGTAAAACTAGATAATTTGCAAATGTCAATGTCATCCCTGTAATGTTTCCAACTATCAAACTCATAAAAAACATGTAGGAATTTAGTCTGTGTAAATGCCCATGTAAAGGCTTTAGTCCTGTCAATCTCTATCAGTGTTGTTGTATCAATGTTTTTTAACAAAATAACCTGGTGCGACTATAGTCCTACAATGTTTTTATCAAAGTAACCACTTAATATATGGAAAGTGTTTAAGAAGACTATGGGAAGCAAACAATGAAAAATAGTTGGCCATAAAACTTCTTCATTCATTCATAAGGTCAACTATGACCAGATTGTTAATGAACTAAGGGAAACCGATCTTACTAACGATGACAAAAAGAATATAGGAAACATCACCTTTGGAGTGCTAGAAAAATCACACAACACCGCACAGAAGGGTTACGTTTTCACACTTTGAGGGGGGCTTGCCATTACCAGAGGGGGTTTGGAGGAAGGATTTGTGCCATACAACAAGAAATAGAAAAAGAAGAAACAAATCATGCAATACCCATTACATCTTAAACACCACCAATAGAAATGAATTAGTCAATGGGCTTAGAAATGTAAAAGAGCACCTTCTTCAATATCATAACTTTTTCAATGTATGAAGCATAAGAAACTTTCAGAAAATGAAATTAAGGTCTATTCAGTGGACAGCGATGCCTTCACGATCCATGAAAACGATTTGACCAGAGTGATGGGCAAACCAAATCATTTTATAAAGCCATATCAGACTGGAATATCCCACTTTGAAGAAGGCATAGGCAAGTGGAGACTGACAAACAAATCAACCATTTTTCAAACCAATAAGTACATATTTAGATATAATGACTTAATTGAAATTCAAAAACTAGACAATGAACCCATACAGGTGGTGGATGAATGGGACACCCCCGGAATATGTAAGCAAATTGGAAAACAAAACCCGTGCATGATCAGAGCAAAATTTGCTGGATCGGGCAAGAGTTACATAGGTCCGTATTTTAATAGGGTGCACAAACAAATTTTGTTTGTAGTGCCTCTTAACCGGTTAAGTCAAGAAATAGAAGGTGACACAACAACCTATAACATATTTTAAGAATACCAGGGTTTGATCATAGCAATTTTGATGTCATCTTCTTTGATGGAATCTATATGACCAATCTTTAAATTTAAAAACTTCTTACTGAAAACACAAGGACAATAAAATCATCATAGGCGCCGGTGATACAAAACAGTTCACGTGTTGTACCTGGCGATCTACGTGTTCACTCTACACAGGATGCGGTTGGCCGCAGATGGTAGCTTTCAACGGACGGCAAAGAACTTTGGTGTATTTTCCAAAGAACTTTGTTGGCATTTGAGGTGTACTTCATTCATCTTAAATCATGAGGAAATGTTAAAGTCAAGTTTGAAGTTTTGAAGTTCTGCTTTATGTCTATGTCCTCTACCCGCTTTGGGTTTGGCTCAGTGTTTTGAAGACTCCGACTCAGGATGCTTTGGCAATACTACAATAGCTTGGACTGGATGACCCGGCACTTGTTTCTGACTGACACCGCAGAGATGCTGAAGATGGCCGAATCGATGAAGAAGGAAAAGAAGCAGAACAATTGAAAAGAGTGCATCATTTTGTTGTACCTACCTCACTGCAGCTTGCAGCGCGTGTGTGGCACACCCCAAGTCTTTTTTGCTATGTTTTTGCTTTGACAGTTTACCTTTTAAAGCCTTTGGCTGGCTGCGGCGCCAGTTCCCAAAGATTTGTTGTTTGGAGACTGCACGATGGGCGCAATCTCTGTTTAATTTCTGGGCTTTCGTCTCGGACTCCTTCCGGCCGTCCAGAGTCCAAAGCGAAAGCCGAAAGCCTAAAGCCAATTACCAATTACTGCAATCGACCCAAAACATGCGAGTCATGTGAGTTGGAAGATTGTGGTTTTCACGGCATGTCAAAACGAACTTTTCAAAGACAAATAGTTTCAGTCTTTCAGGATTCAGGAAATCAAGAACTCAGTCAGTCATACAATCACACACTGAGCCTCTCGTTCCTCAGTGAAAACTGATTTTCATTTTCGTGGTTTAAGCACAGAGCGAGCGAGCGAATATAGTTTGGCGGCACTGTGAATCAACAGCCATGAGCAGCTCACATTGCTGCCGCGAGCGCCCCAAGAGTTCTTTGCTTCCAGAAAATGGGCGCGGGCCTTTAATGGTGCTGGCGTTTCACACTTAGACTTAGAGGCAGATTTGCGTCAACGCTTCTGGTGGCTAGCGCGACTGCATCCGAAAGATGGTTTTCCACATGGCAAGCCTAAGGCTACTGATTTGGAATTGGTCTTCCCAAAGAACCGGCGAGTGGCGCAATACGCGCGCAAGCTCGTGATTTTACAAAACATCGTCGTCGCACCTGTAGAAAAGTATTGGCTTCCAACCCTCTGGCTTTCGCAAATTTTACTAGAGGCGCTCGTGCGTTCACTGCGCACATGTAAACCTAGAAAACTTTCAGTGGACAACCATGACCATGGTAAAAGTTTCGGTTCAGGTGGGCAGTTATAGTTTGCGCCCTCGGACGGAGCCGCTTCTTAATCTTCACACCGGTTGGAGTTCTCACGTTGTGCCTTCCTGGCCATGTTTTGAAGAAGCTCCTGCCACCCGGAGTCTGGATGTATTTTTCCCAAAGCATTCCAGACTCGAAAGGGAATACGTCATGCGGTTCCCAGGTGCAAATGTCATGGGTGGTTTTCTCATGTTGCCTCACTATATACATCTGCTTGTCTTCTGTGACGCAGCTGTTTGGGGAAGTGTTCGGACAAACTTGCGTGTCTCGGTTTCGTGGAAAAGTAGCCATGTCGGCCAACGCTGTTGGCGCCAACTTTGGTGGAGAAAGTGTCCTTGGGGCCCGTGGGGTCGATGTTGGAGGCACAGGCTTTGGAGGCGCTGTTGCTGTACCACCCCGTGATGAGCTCAAGGTTCTGAAATTCTGAAAGACAGTCGCAAGACATTGAAGCAGAGGGTGAAGCAGTTGACGAAGAATATCCGTCATGAGGCCTGTGAAAAAAACTGTGACGGGAGTGGGAGTGTGATAGGAGGGCTGTCGTGGTTTTGGTCTTGTTGTGTAGCACGTTTGTGTAAGGTTACAGGTTTCTTGTTGCTGTTGTGTTGACTCCTGATGCAGGAGAGGACACGTCGCAGACTTTTGCAGAAAGCTGGGATTTTGACCGATCAGGATCTCCTCTGGCTCTTGCGACGCCAACAAGAGCATCGTCAATGAGAAGCCCTACGCACGCAGATTTCCTTCCTTTTCTTTCCACTATGTGGTACAGCCGCTCTACCTGCTGATGGGAAGGATGTTGATGCATGTGCTCGATTCACCATGTGCTCTGCATGCTTGTTTCACACGTCCATGGCGAAGCTATGGGCACAAGCTGATGTGATAAGACAGCGGACGAAATGAAACATGGAGAGTTCTTGACATCACCGCCTACATACTCATATGTTTCTCTCAGAATTTGCATGTCTTGGTGAATTGCATTTTTATGACGCTGTACGTCTACGTTAGTCTTCAAGAGACTGGGAGGAGGTTTTTTGCACAGCTTGCCACACTGACACGCCCTTGTTGTATAATTCACCAGACTGACACACCGTTTGAGACGAGCCCTGGGATACAATGTTACGTTCTAGGTGGGCTGGGTTTGGTCGGGAGTGTGGGTCGATCGAAACGATCCCAAACAGCAACCTAACAAGCCTGCATAAAAGACCGAACAAATCCGAACAAACGAAAGAAAGTCAAGAGAGAAAGGGGTGCGGGGGTGCGTGAGGGGGTGATTGAAAGGCACGTAGCCACCTGTAACCTCCACCGGGTACAAATTTTAGACCCTGGTCCTATGTACTAAATTTAAGACTCTCACTTTGAGATCAGCCTGTTGGGACAAATCTGCCCCTCACAGTTTTGGCATGTTTTGGCAACTTTGAAAATCAGCGTATCCAAAAGGAAAACACATGAGCCCACACCCTGTATTGTTTCAGATCCATAATTAATCAACAGCACCGGTGCTTACCTCAATTTGAACAGCGTGCTATTATAAGCGGGCAGCTAGAGGAACCATGCGCACGAGTTTTGCAAACTCATTTTTTGGGGGCGCAAAGAACGGCCTCAAATATTGCTTTATATTGCTGTTGTTGGAGTTCTTTGTCAGCAGTGTCCAAGGCATCTCTAGTAATCAATTTTTGGACCGGCCCTTCTCCCAAGCGCTCCCATTACAACGTAGAACTGGAACATTTTCTTTCCAGACGCGAAGGCAGGTCCGAAAATTAAACCGACCCCATGATGATGAAACGGTACTCTCAATCTTAGATTAATAGCTGCCTCTGATGGAAGGACGCTATACATAACGTTTTACATGGTGTGGGCTTGAATCCACCAGTCAACAATTCCATGAAATGGCGTGTTGGTGAATCAAACAAGAATCAGAATTCATATGAAGTGACCATACCATATGACAAAAAAAACACAAAATTCATATGATTAGGTTTGGCTGAGCAAGAACATGGTGGCCTGGTCCCAAATCAAACAATTCATATGAAATGGTTGTCTGCTGCATCAAAAAACAGCAGTTCACATAAATTAGTCTCATCTTGTCACATGAGCCGATGAAAATGTTCATGGTGGTCTGGGAACATATGATTTCACTAGACCGGGCAAGTCTGCCCCTAGATCAGGTAAATCCGCCCCTAGACCGGGTAAATCCGCCCCTGGGCATTTCATGGTTTCCCAAACACGCAATTCATATGAACTCATGTTAGTTTACCCGCCACCTAATGCGAGCCATACAACTCATATGCATTGAACTGTTCCCCCATCGAAACATTAATTGACTGAAAAAAATGATATCCTTTATTCAAAGTGGTCCACACCTTTTCCAGCCCTGGCATGGGACGATAGATCTAATATCAGCACGCTTGCAAAGTGAAACTGTTTTCAATAGATTCAAACCTCTTGTCACTTTTATGGAAAACAGTTTTATCTATGATTCTGCGCAAACAAATTTAAATCTACAGATTTGATCCATTGCACGGGTCGCCAAACACCACGGCGGAATAGCATGAATCATAAAGAGCGACAAGGACCTGCTATATATGTAAAAGTTGATGCAGCAGTAGGCATGGTTAAACCACAGCGAAAGCCTTGAATGAAAAAAATGAACCGTTCTGACCCGGTCACTCCATGGGACTGCCATAGGACTGCCGATCAGTTGGGGTAGTGGTGCCAGGGGAGTCTTTCTGGGGCGGCAGTCCTATGGCAGTCCCATGCGTCGTGTCTGAGTGGGCTGTCTTAGGCAGCTCCGGAGCTCCAACCTGCAGCGATGGCGTTCCTGAGGTGATGTCCGGCGCCATTTTGGGACCCACAGGCTACAAGGCCACCAAGGAGACGCTTGGTTTCGGTCGATATAGGTCTATGGGTCTGTATTTGAATAGGGGGACCTCCCAACCAATGGAATTTTGCGGTTTTGCCACTTATCGAAGGTTCGTTTTGAACCTCACTGGGACCCCCCAGATGTATATATATTATATATATAACCCAACCAATGGATTTAGTTTGGTTTTGCTATTGCCAGAGGTATTTAGGTGTTTCTCCATTCCAATGCATGCCCAATTTCGAATTGCCAAATATATCATAGGTCACGAAGCTGGGGAAAGGGCTTTCCACTCGAAGACGTGGAGTTCGTTCGGTTCACCTTTCTTTTCCAGGGATCTCTCCGGTTTTTTTGTTGGTCAGCATTCAAATTGGTCGTGAACCAAAGGTGAAGTTTTTGTTTTGCGCAGCCAGCTGTCATGAGGAAAAGCAAGGTGCAGGCTGCGATGCAAACTTCCCCTGAGAGCAATTGAACAACAGACAAATTGAAGTTTGAAAGCCGGGAGAGGGAGAGAGGGAGATGTGAGAACAGAGGACAGTGAGGGAGGACGAAACCGTTTTTTCTTCAACATGACGATTGAACCAGATGTTGTAGGATGTGCTACCACGTGGGTGCTGGTAAGTATCGCGAAGAAGCATCCTCATCGCTTGGAGACCCCTCCGTACGGAGTGCACTGGTTGTTTGAAGATTTCCCTGCACAGAGCTGTACAGGTCAATAACCCGAAAATTCGGTTGCGCAAAAGTAATTCCTCACTTGAACAAAAAGGTTTCAGTGCAATACAACCGTACCACTCGAGATCAAGATCATATCCTCCAACATGGAAGTGGGAAGACAATCCCCGAAAGGACGACGGTTCTCCTCTACGAACCGGCTGTATTCCACGTAACCGGAGGTCGTTTCAGGGAGGGAGCTCTCCTGAAAACTCACATGGACTTGGTAGCACTTGGGGTCCGACCGTTGTCTTCTACACAACACGCATGGTGTCCATGAAGGGTCCATGAATTGCCCTTCTCCTGTAGGGTCATTCTCCTAAGACTCCCAGCAAGACAAACCCTTGAGCCCATATGCCCATATAGTGTGGACTTGCAGCCCAAAGCCTCATCCTTCCACTCCAACAAGTCCTTGCACGGCGACATATATGCAAGTGGAAAGCCGTGCAGCAATCGTCCCAAGGACCAAAAACGTCTCCAGCCATAAGACAGCCCCCAAAAAGGGCGCCCGCTCGATCACCACGCCTGTCCTCGGCAGTCCTCATACACCACGCCGAGGAATGTGGTGTCCTTGCAGATGTCTCCTGACTTCATCGGCTCCCCCTTCTATCCCAACGACGCGCCGGGCACGCCCAGTGGACGGAGACGTGCGTTTCACCACGGATGGACCGGCGTTGATGTCACAACGGATGGACCGGCGTTTGTAGAGCGACCAGCGTCGGAGGTGCTTTTTCTCCCCTGTCGTTTTGGACCGGGACGGACCAAAACAGATCATTAAGAGGTTGGATTGGGGCCACTTGCGGAACACTTTAATTGCTGTGGCCGGTGCCTTGGGCGCTTGCTTACGCCACGCACTGCTTCACGCATTCAGACCTCAGTCCTGAAGCTCCCGACTGGGAGTAGGATTCGGATCGGTAGAGCCCTCCCTTGAGCTGGTTAATGGCAGGCCCAATTGAAAAGCAATGGCTGCTGTAACTTATATAACCCATACTGAATACTTAACCCATACGTCATGAACAAGAACTGGTGCTATAGTCGGTGTTCATCATAGCAATAACTGGAAAGCCAGCCATGCTTAACCCCCAAAAAGACTCCGTACGAACTGGACTGGCTTTCAACATGTTTGGGCCAATGAACTCTTGAAAGGTAAACACCTCATTGGCAACATGGTTCCATTTCTGTGAAGGGGCACAATCACAAGAGCAGCCGGAAACACTCGGACTCGGACGAGGGACAAACCCAAACCCAATCTCATTGCAAGTAGTCTTCCATTTCAAGAATCAGATACCACCCGGGCTTGAGAAATTGTCCACACGGTGTCATTGACATAAAGAATCATTTTGTGGGATAGCAGATCATCATGGATCACTAAATCCATTTGCTTTGCTCAAAGGATTCAATACCAGGTCAAGATTAGACAACTACCGTGGTGAAGATGTTGCCGACTCATCGTAGATTCCTATTTAGACTGCTGATTCTAGACAGCAATCTCGAATCATGAAGGAGGTGCACTTCGCAGTGCCCAGAACGCACCACCGCCAAGTCATCCACATGTCCATTATGCCTTTTGAAGCCAATAAAACATACAGTAAGTCAACACATACATATAATATGTTATAATACTGCTGGTGTTGTTGTACCACACTGCCACCTATTTATGTCAAAGTGACTATACTAGCCAGTCCTAGATGTTCTAAGCCTTCCACAAGCTACTATTCCCTGATCCGGTCTGACCCAGCTGACTGATCCGCCAATTGGGCGGCCAGCCATGCAGCCCGGCGCGAGGGCGCGCGGCTGCTGCGCTCCTTTGCAGCTCCGAGTTGCGCGCCATGGGGGTGGGCAGCGACTTGGCGGATGAGCGCGGAAGGTATACTTTCTCCTTCTCACATGTCTTTGGATGCAGGATTCTAGACAGGAAAGTCTACTTTCCCAGATGTTTGGGAACGTTAATTCTTTTAACAGGGCGCCTTCTCAGTTTCAATGCCCAAACACTCCATGGGGCTGCCATAGGACTGCCGCCCCAGAAAGACCCCCCAAACCACCCCACCACCCCTGGCCGTTTCTCGGCAGTCCTATGGCACCTTCATGGGTCGTGTCTGGGATGTCTTGGGTTCTTCAGTTCTTCATGTCATTCTCAGATTCTGTGAGACTGTGAGCCGTCCAGTGTGGATGACCGACCCCAGCCTGTCCGAAAGCTTCTAGAAGAAGACACACACCATCACACACCTCTTTCCTCCCATAATATAAGAACCTGAGTGATGATATGTATTTTGATATATGTTTTTAAGTTATAATAGCCTGAGTGATCTGTATAATAGCCTCAGGTTCTTCCCCCCATCCCACGTAATATATGTGTTCTCTTCCCATCTCGGGACCCCAAAACGGACCGACTCCCCCGGCCCTTCAGCAGCTTCACCGACCCCACAGGCCACCGGTGCTGCGAAACCTCAGATCCCGGCATCAGCTACTCCCGCGCCGCTCGGTCGCCAGCGACCACGTCGTTTCGGAGCCACACCGGTGGAGCCGCCGGGGACGGTTCAGCCGAGGTCCGGGGAGGTCCGGGGTTGTGTGTTACATGGGATCCAGGTAGGAACCCTTATTACCTCATGGTTCGGTGCGACTGGACCCCTCCAAACCTATTACATTGATCATGTCTCCGAGTCTCCTTCTGAGAAGGTACGACTGGATTTTCAGGGTGTGTTGAGGAGGCCCGGTTGGGGGGGTATTTGGGTAGGATTGTGCTAAATAGGCGGGCGGTCGACTGGGGCATTGAGTCGGGTTATTAGACGGGCCATGACCGGCCGACCGGTGTGGCCTAGGGCCTCATGGCATGTATGTTCTTGCGTAGCCGGTGGGCTAAGGACTAACCGGTTAACCATGGTTAACCTATGCAAACCTGTACACTTGAAACTGGTGAATTCCATGCACATTGGGATCTTGGATATCTTGGAATCCGAGAGTCATTGTTTTGCTGGCCTCCGCAGTCATCTAGGCAGATGGGTTGCCTTTTTGACAGTTTTGGGTTCTCCAATTCACGTCCCGAGAGGCAATGATGCCAGAGGATGTGTGTCCCTTAGGGGAAAGCTTGATTGTGCTACTCTGCTACTCCTGTGTTTGATATGAGAGTCATCATAAGGTTAAGAACTCTACCGAATCGCAAGGGCGCACTGCACATAACACAGGTCCTTGGATCTTGGTCAGATAATTCTCTTAGTTCCGTTCTTGTTCCATGTTCTGTGCCTGACAGCCAGCTGCACTCGATGGCTTTGCCATACCTCCTCAAAAGAGAAAGCTCACACCATTTGTTTGCTTTGCGTTGCTTGCGCCCGGCCAAGCTGCAAAGCATGGCTAACCTGACAACCCCTTCAACATGCAACACCTAGTCCCCCAAGGAGGGAAGCTATTATCAAATAATACTTGTGGTGTCAGTGCTGGGCCATGGAGTTTCCAAAATTACCCTGCTGAAAACTAACATGGAACCATGAAAACCACTGGCGCAGCTATAGGAAAACAGTCGGACTCAGGGTGCAAGTCTCGACCCGGGTCCATGTTAGTTTTCGGGAGTGTAAGATAGATAAGTGTTTAACATTCCTGGGCCCCATAAACGGTCCATTTGGTTGGTACACGAGCTGCTCGTGTTCGGTGGGCATACCACCTCGCTTTGTAGCATGAACTACTTTGGACCCCAAAAAGCCTCATCCTTCCAACACCTGCCAACAAAATCCAACAAACACCTCAAAGACATATTTTCCCTGGTGGACGCCCTGGAAGTGGTGCTTCAGGAACCCAGCAGGAAACCAGCAGGAGGTGCTGGCGTTGTCCTGCCGAGGTGAACCCCCCCCCCCGTCGGCTCCCTGGGGGCGCATGGGTCCCAAACGCGACCAGCAGCTTCATGTCGGGGTCACGTGGCAGGTTTCGCCCCAGCCCACTATCCGGGACCTCCAGATAGGACACCTCTTGAAGGTCCAGGTGTGTCCAATCCCTTCCACCAATCCCCCACCTGAATCAGGCATGTCGGACGTCCGCGGTGACCGGTCCCACCAGGAAGGGACGAACATCGTGCCCCTCTTTGGTGATCTTGATGCATCTCCCACCGGGTCTTTGGAAGAGCTCATGCTGAATGAGGGCATTCAGAGGCTACTCGTCGACTCGTTGGTGTGGGCGGGTCTGCGTGTTTTCTTTTGAGGCTCACAGCTTGGAGCTTCGGATTTCTATGAACCTTGCAAGGTTCAAGACGACCCACGTCATCATGGTTGATGCAGACGATCAATCCATGTTTGGCTTTTGTCAATGCCAAGTTGGAGAGACCGCAGGCGGGGCCCCCATGTGGGGACTCCAAGTAATTGGGGGGAGACGTTTGGGTACTTGTTTTCCAAGCATTCCGATGAAGCAAGTGAATGGATCCAATTTACAAATGGTGACAATTCGCAGTGCCAAGCAGGGTTGATGGACAGTCGTTGACATCGCAAACGAGTTCTTCTGGGTCAGGACTGGGTTTTTGACGTGACGAAGGTGCCACACCCATCGCGCATTTGCGCCTGAGGATGACCTTTGAAGAGAAGTATTTTTGATCCAAATACCGCAAACAGGGTGGACTATGGTAAACGGACGCTGTGGTCGTCCCAAGCAAAACTGGCTTTGCATCTCCTCCTGCATATCTGTTTGATGTTTGTGCAGCTTTGTATTGGCACCAAGGCCTCCTTCAGATCCCTTTCATTTGGCTGCAGACACAGAGGCTCGGCCACGCACACTATATATGGACATATTATATATATATATATTGCGGAGACACGAACCCTCACCTAAGGGCTACAAGTGGGCTCTTCTTTCCACGGCCTGAGCATGAAGGTCCCTGTCGTGTCACGGGTGGACATCAAGACTGCTATAACTTCTAAAATTCAACGAAGCTCCATGGATCGTCATCCTTATCCGAAGGATCATAGCCATCAAAGGTTGGAAACTTCCTGAGCAGTCTTTTCGGCAGCCATCTCACTGCCGTCACAACGTCACCAGCCTTTCAGGACTTGAACCGGCGAGGCACGGTCGAGTTTGGGAAGCGATCCTCAGCCGATTCGAATGCCTCAGCGTGAGCTGAAAGATACATCACAAGGTCTTTGACCGGAGCTGACAAATTCGTGCGATCCTTTTGGCCGATCAACCATCGAGTGTAGCTGATGAGCTCGGTATCGGAGGATGTGGCCAACTCTTCATAGCTCATTCCACGCTTGGACAGCTTTCCGCACTCAATGAGGGTCTGGCCCCAATGCTGCAAGGACACCACTCCCTGGGGTAGCTCCAGCTGACGAGTCACCCCGGATGACTTGGCTTTGGCCTTTGCCAAAGGAAGCTGAGAAAGCTCCGGAGATCGGCTTGGAGAAGGGTTCAACCGGCGCTTGGATGAATCGTTCATAGACCCTCCATGCTGATAGCCGGATTCGGACACCAGCTCAAACTCTCCATGCTCATATTGAATCAGCTCATTCAGCAGCTCATGTACTGAGCCTTCATCTTTCACCTTAGCCAGCAATTCCTTAGCGGCTGCGGACAATTGCGACGACGAACCAGCCATTTGGCCAGGAGGAAACTGCCAACAAAATCTCGAAAGGACCTATCGTGACAGG